AAAACAATAACATCATGAGCTAGTGCTTGTTCTCCTTTTGAGAATTCTATATATCTATATCCAAGTAAAATATACACGTAATGTTCAAGGGAAAACTGCTCAGCTGATTCACTCTACAATACATAACTGGAGAAAAAGAAGGCAGACAGATTGTAATAATTCCAGGTCATTGCATCATATCTGCATGCATTACAACACAAAACAAAAATGTAGAAGTCAAAAACAACCTGATTGACAGACGTAACCAGCCTAACATACCCTGTTTACGCTGCTTTCTGTATTCAGGACTTGTTGATATTGAATATTCCAGCCCGATTCTAGCACCACTTTCAGTTTAAATTTAGTTAAACTGTAGTGTAGGAAGAAAAACCTTCTGTGACCCACCTCCGAACCTGTCTACAGGCTCCCTCCATCCCCACCAAGACCAATGATGAAGACATAAATCTGCGTAAACACAAATCTAATCAGTGTAAAATGCTCAGATCCAGTCAGATATCACATAGCGTGCAAACATTTGAATACTTTTCTTTATCTTTGTTTCAGACAGTTCACAGTCCGGTTGCAACCTTTGCCTGTTTGAACATGTGGCCCTCATCTCCATCTAGGAGGCAGACACTGACTTGATTTTAAGCAAATTTATCATAGACCTTTCTTTGTTTCAGACTGGGTGCAGCCCTGCCTCTGCTTTTGCATCTTTCAGCAAGCAGCCCTCTTCTCCACCTAAAGAGGGCAGGATGAGCAGGAATACTTCAGGGCTGATGCACAGCCTCCCCGACACACTTGCTTCCAACATCCCCACTTTCCCCCGGTCAGTCTCCCCAATCTCTTACAGTCCTCCAGCCAGTCCACTAGAGGGCGATGTGGTCATTCCATGTGAATTCTGTGGTGTTGCTCTAGAAGAGGCTGTTGTCTTTCACCATCAGGTATGTTGCTAGTGGCAGAATATTAAAGAGTGGGTGGGTGGGGGGGAGAAATAGACAGACATGCAATTGCACTTTTTTTTTGTCATGTTTTTTGACACTTGTGTGTTTTACCACCAGGACAAATGTGATATGCGCCCTCAAACTGCCCATCCACTGAATAATCTAACAAAATCATCTGTCATAAAACCACTGAGCCCTGCTAAAGACTGCTTTGGGCAGATGTCACCAGATTTTCAGAGGAGACTAAAGCACCAAGGTAATGTATAAAATGTTTTTGAGAATTTTTAAATATATGTTTTTAATATTAAACCCTAAAAAAAACTTCACTAATTCTATCATGCCCATGTGTACTTTATTAGTAATATTAGTGTAGGAGCAAAATGCATCAAATGTAAATGGCTACTCATTAGCCTGGTTCCAGAGCTCTGAATTGCTGGACATATCTTTTTAGCATTTCAAACAGTATAGAATTATTATTAAATAATCTATAACAATAAATGCATGAAGTGAAATGACTGGCAATTCAATCTGATAGATAGTCTAGCTATTTATTACAATGGCCTCACCATAAATACTAATAAATCCTACCTTTGGAAACCTACATGTTATATTTTTGTTTGCATTGTCAGAGGTGTTGATATAACTCTTCGGTCATTTTTGAGGTTATAGTGTTTTTGCTTATATTATAAATGATTATATTAAAGTGTGTGTAATCATGAGTCTATAAAGGTACAACACATTAGCACTTTTGACAGCAAACACTGAACATACAAAGTTAGTCTGTAAAGTGATTTTTATTTGATTGCATCATATTCCAGAGGGTCTGTAGATATGTGCAGTGTTTTTTGTCGGGTTCTTGCCTTTGTATATGTGTGTTTATTCACACATTGTATATGCTGTCCACATATAGCTGACTTCCTCGACGAGGACTTTGGATTTGACAGACACAGCCCACCAGGGAAAAACCCAAGGGAATGGCAGAGAGGCTACATCGGACTACCAAGTCAAAGGAAGACCTCCAACTGTGATGTTTCTGTGAAAAACAGACCTCAGCAGGGCAGGGAAGCAGAAGGAGCTCATTCATCTTTCTGTGACACTGACAGGTCAGGCTCTGCATCTCTAAAGGGGTCAAAGCAATGATCAAGTCCTATGGAAACAAATTTTTGAACTTCATTGAATCATCGTAGTTCTACTTGACCAATTTAGAATTTTGTAATCAAATAACTATTGGTGTTTTTTGTAATTAAATACACAGTATATTACTAATATTCTGATTTGATTCTGTCCACCAGACCTCAACTACCAGAAAACCAAGAAGGGAGAGGGAACAGAAGTAATCCTATGACAAAGGTACACAACCCAACACAGAACTGAACACCCACACAAACCAAAGCTAGAAGCTTCTGATTCTTCTCAGTCTTAAACATAAAAATGAAAATATAGCAAGATTTTCCATAATGAGGACAGTGACAGTATCTTAACTTCCAAAACACTCTACACAGTTTACAATCTGTGTAAAGATAATGTGCAAACATGAGAATTGGTAGTATGGAGAAGAAATGGATGTCAGAAGAACAATCTATTATGATAAATATAAGCAATACACAAAGGTGTGTATAATATATTCATTTACATGAGAAGGTTGAAGAGGATATCTGGAGTAAAAAGTAAAGAAGTACTTATTGTAATGTAAAATTTTTGAGCAAATAGACCTGCTTCTCTGTGTAATTGGCCAGTTAATGTTTCTGTAACACTGTATCTGTACAGAGCTTAGTCAAATTATGCTTTAGTGTGGATTTTCCTAACATATTTTTGCATGTGTAAATTGCAAAGTTTTTAATTGTATTTTTTCCATCTGCAGTTCCCCAAGAAACAGAATGAAGAGCAGCAGGAAGAGTGAGAGCAGGAACAAGTGGAGAAATAGTAAAACCAAATCTCCTACTCTGCTTGTCATTTATCTTTTTGCACACTTTTGAAAAAGAAACATACATATCTGATAAGTGCCTGTGTGAGTATTGGTATCTTGCAGTTTTATTAAAGTCTAAGTTAGCAATTTGCTTTATTCATGCATATTCTGCTTTATTTCAAGATTTGTTTGAAATGTTTAAGTATGTATAACATCTAGCCTTAACAAATGAATTATAAATTGAATTTTATTCAGACTAAATTTGATTTGATTTTCTTTTTCAAACTATACAAGTCATTTCATGGCTCATTAAGAAGACTGAGAACATCAAACACGGACACATGACTTTGTTGGTGTGCATTTGTCTAACTTAACTTTCTTTACCTTGTTACTTCAGCCACGGACATTTTGTTTTCACCCATTAGCCAGTTCTTTCAGGGCATTACTTAATGGTCCTTATTGGTGTCTGCATCTTTATGTAACCTAAAGCACTTTGATAGACTATTTTGTTAAAAAGGGCTTTAGGAACAGATTTGATAAATTTATGCATCTTTGACCAAGAAAAAAATTAACTGTATTATTGAACATTTGTCTTTTTATATTGTTGAAGATTTGTCTTAAATACTCTTCAGTAATATTTAGATTTTTTTTTTTTTAATCATATCTATAGAACTATATACATGGTATTATGATGGGACAGCTTTTGAAGCAGTGTCCCCTGTGTCCCCTGTCCTTCTTTTAAGTAGTGTGAAAAAGTTGTTTCTCCAAATATGATTTAAGATTCCTAACATATATTTTGTGGGTAACATAGGTTCCACTTTAGGAATATATAAAAAAAAATAGGCAACCTTGTGCCACAGATGGTCAAGTCTGTAAATTTCCCTTTTAACCATAGACAACATTAGCGGATTTTCCTAATTAACATCTGATCAATTAGCCTAAGTGGAGAGCAGCAACTAATCAGTGAAATCACCTGGTGTGGCATATAGTTGGACTTGGGGCACTCATAGCACGTAGATAACTATTCCTTTTGAGTACAACTGTCTGCTCTTTGTCTTGTGTGGTTATTAAATATTCATGACATTCATGGTTTCATGGCTCCAGTTTGTATTCTGTTGGTGGCGTTTCATGCCTCTTATACAGCTTGCTCGCCTGTGTTTACCAGTTATGGTACCAAACCCTGGTAAGAAGTAAAACTCCAATATTTGTTTTTTAATTTCAGTTTTTTCAGTCAGTTGACCACGTAATGAGCTTCTTTTTATCTGCCTTTCATATGTGATGACAAATGCCACAGAGCACCAGAAGGAGCTTTGTAAATTGCATTGCAGTCTGCCACTTGGTCATATTGGTAGTGTTTAAAGATTACGAGTCAGTTGGTAAAACTTGATTCTGAAAGGACTTACTGTTAATTACACAGATATCTCCATTAAATGTTTTTATAGCAGAGAGCTGTATTTTTGTTTCTATCAGCACGAAGGTAGTACTTATACAGCGGCAGTGCCTTGGACAGTATATCTCCAAATAAGCAGCCTACACTGCTTTAAAACCATGAGGAGAGAATGGGAAAGAAAAAGTACTCTTCATATATAAGTACAATGTGCTATTACAATGAGAGAATATGAATAAGACACAAAGTATAATATAGGATGGAAGATTAGTACTACTCAAGAAAATGTACCTACTATAATGTAACATTGAAATAAATAGATTTGTCATTACCTGATCATTAAAGGTGAAATCATTCATTGTTGGTGTCTAAACCCGTTTTAACCCCTATGTTTTTTTACTTGCTTGTAAAGAACTTTGAATTGCATTTGTTTGAAATGAGCTATATAAATAAAGTTTGATTGATTGGTGTAAAATATTGTAGGTATTAAGGCGGGGGAAGGAGAACAGAGTTTGAAAAAGCCCAGTTTTACACCTAAACTCTAGGTATAATATTGGTTATATTGCCTTAAGGATTGTAACATCTACAATTCAGTGTCCACACCAGGTCCACACAAAAAAAAGTGGCACTAATCATCCCCCACAGCCGGATGCTGTTTCTTGTCTTCCCACAGAGCGGCGCGCTTTGAATGAGCTCCGGGAGAAGCCGGGGACAGAGAGGGGCGGGGATTACACCTTTCAGTGGGAATCCTGTATTCAAAAAGCTGCCAACGTCCCAACGTAAGAGCGTGCGGGCCTGTTTGTGCTTTCATTACAACTCAAGAGACGACAAAAAGAGGACCGAAATATGCCCTCCGTAAGCGGGACACGAGTGTATTTTCGTTGACTCAGAAGAACTTTGTGACTTTGACTCCGCTGAAGACTGAGACTGCAGTGAAAAAAAAAAGAAAGAAAAAAGACACAACAAAAACAGCTTACAAGTCGTGCAGGTGGTACACGTTGTTGACCGGCGGACCAGATCACAGCAAGACTCACCCTCCGGACCTTCTCGTCTCACCTGAGCCTGCCTACAAAGATTAAAATGTCTGTGGAAAGTTATTCTGCGCTGGACGAGTCCTCTCTCCGAGCCTTGGTGAGTAGATGAATGGAGATGCTGTAAGATGAAGTGAGCTAACTGGTACCTGCTTGGAAAACACTGGGGAGTTATTCCAATAAAAGTTAAAGTCGCAGGGATGTAACTCAGTTTATCGTCGCTGTCTTTAGTTTGCATAAAATTGTACATCATTTGAAGTTCTGTCAGACTGGTCACTTCCCCTTCATGGGGATGGGGTCATATAAGGGAAATTAATGTGGATTAATTTCTCATTATTGGTACAGGTCTGTTGCTGTTATGTAGTGAAACAAGAAAAACACACACAGTGCTACTTGTTGTTTTGTGTAGCCTACCTTTGACATTTGAAGAGGTCACCTTGCTTTTGAGGAATTTTGATGACTAATTATTTTTCTTCTTCCCTTTTTTTTTTCTTTTTTTTTTTTTTTTACATTTCATAGAACAAACAGTTTATGAATTGAGGAAACAACGGGCAGAATAAATAATGAAAGAAACTGTTAATTGCATTTTTCATGACTGTCTATAAGAAGTGAGGCAAGTAGTGATTGTTCAGTGTGTTATCATTGAAGCTGTTGAACACTATGTTCAAATAGAGTGTAAACTAGTTTTAAAACCAGTTGATTCATTGATGAATCAAATTGACAATATTTGATAATAGATTGGCCCGATTAACACTTCTCAAATGTAAGGACTAGTTGTTGTTTTATTTCTGTTTTTGTTCTTTTATTTCTGTTGTTGTAAAACTAAAATCTAAATTTTTTTTTTTAAAGATGTCACTCTAGACTCTAAGAAGTTTTGATAGGCATTTTAATATTTTCGGACACTTTATACACTAAATAATTAATCAAATAAATGATTGCGAGACTGAGCCATGAAGAAAATAATAATTAGTTGTAGCCCAGCCTTTGAAGAGCAGAGCTGACTCAAGAAAAATGTAGACTTCGGAGTGACTCACCTGTGTGTGTGACACACAGCAGACATAACTCTATTACAAAATAGTGGAAGTAATATTCATTTCGTTTGTAGGTGATTCACTTTGACACACTGTGTCCTGTTTTAACCATTACCTGAAGTGTGAGCAGAAAATCAGCTCTGATGAAGTGAACATGTACAAAAGAGAAGACTTCCTGGTTCACAGTCACATTAGTCATAACCTAATTATTTCCTGAGGCAGAGGAAGGTGAAACAGTAGTCTGTGTGACACATATCATCACACCTGAAAGACTGACACGTTTTCGAGGACGCATGACTCAGGCGTCCATTGTTTAGATTTAGCTGCGCTCGGTTTATCACAGTCGTAAATGAAACATCTGAGTCAAAGTATTCATATTTTAGTTTTTCATTTTGTATTAACTAACACTAACATATCAGGGGCAGGATTTGTATCAGTGAAAAAGTGAGAACACTCACTAATAATACTAAAACATTTTATTATTTCTCAGCAGTGTTGTGGGGGGATGTATATTGATTGTTAAGTGTTAGCTATGTGACATGAGCAGCTGTCAGATTAAACTACACTGCGGGTCATCTGTCTGAATGGTGCTTTAGACACACTATGAGCATGACCTCTGAAGTCATTATCCTCACTAGCTGTTTTCCCAAGCTCATTTAAGCAGAGGCCATCTCAGAAAAAAAAACATTTTGATCCCTGTTCTTAAAGATCACTAAACCTGACAAGAAAAGGCTGTTTACTTTGGATCTAGGCAGGGTTTAAATGTTGTGTCTCTATCCATTATTTTCCCATAGTCTGGAATCATTTGGCCAAGATCTACAGTCGCTCTCTTCTCATAAATCACTTAAAGGACAAACTTTTACCACAAGACAAGCGACATTAGAACAGTGGGAGAACAGGGGTATGTTGAGGAAATAATATTTTTCCTTCAGTTTAATGATTTACTTTTACTGGCGTATTGGTGGCTTTGATCAGTCGATTAATGAGTTTATTTATAGAGGGAATGAGCAGGAAGGGGGTATAAAGGACGAGTGGTCATCACAAATTTTGGCAGAGAAAAGAATGAGGAAATCTCAAACTTTACTCTTCTAGTTCTGTTTTCATGGTCCCTCAAATGCAGTATTAAATTTCAGATGTTTTTTGCATTAAACTCAGCTCATTGTTATTAGAGATATCGAGCTCATCTGATCATGCAGCAGCATCATGCAGACACTGGAAATTGTGGGGTTTATCTTCATGTGACACAGATGCTCAAACCATCGCTGTGCACCACTTGAAATGTCTCGTCTCCGCTGTGCTGCATTCATGGAGCCGAGCATCTTCCCCTCACCCTCCCTCCCTCAGATGTGACCACCGGCTAGAAGGTCACCAAAATCCCACATTTTCACTGATGATGTTTGTGGTGACTGGAGTGTCAGGGTTTTCCACAGTCAACTCGGTTTCAAAGGAAACAAACTGTGATGAAACTCGGAGGAGATTTTCATGTGGGACTGTGATGGAATTTAAATTGTGCTCCACAGAGACATGAATGGCGCCTTTTGTGTTTAGTTTGTATGAACTGTAACACTATTCTCTGTTTATATTCAGCAACTGTTGAAGAGATGGTGAATTTAAAAAAAAAAAAAAAACGCGAGTAAGAGATGATGGACGTTTGGTTTAATTAACCTTGTTGTAAACTGGTGGAGGAGCTGCTGTTAAACAACAGTTAGACAACGAACACAAACTCCAGGCCTCTGTTGTACTTAATGAACTAAACAGTCAGAAGGTCATATGGCGGCCTCTCTAACGCCACTAATCCCATCTCTACACTTCTATTCAAAGCCCAGGCTGCCTTTTTTTATTGCTCATTTAATCCCCTCCATGGCAACCAGGAGAAGCATTTTTCCTTTCTCTTGGCCACCACAATTATTTAAATATCCACCAAAATAATCAGTTGGTGTCCCAGTTTCTTTGAGAGAGGAGCTGAGAGTACGTTTGCTGCGGGTCATCTGTCTGAATGGCGCTTAAGATCTGTGGACACAAACAGCTGCTGAAAGCCAGTTGGGAGGAAAGCTCTTTCTAACCAAACCACTCCAGCCACCATCACTTAGAAGTAGATTTAATCAAGCGACTGCCAGCTCCCAGGGTGATCGTTATCAGCTATTACTGCAATGCTACAGTGTGTCAAACCTGTAGGACGAGCCAGGTCGACAGGTGTCTGTGCACTTGTACACCTGTCTACTTAGCTAAGAATCAGGTTTGACTGTGGCATCTGTCAGCCACACCATGATCTCCCTTCTAATTATCTCTGAAAACTCCCAGCTGCTCCGCATCACGGGAGGAAATACAGGAACAGTCGTCGTGTCACGTGTTACACATTCACATGTTGGTAAAACGTCGATGTTTACATGAAATGTCGTCGTCTTTCACAAGCTTGTAGTCTGCAGCGGTGACCGCGGGGAGACTTGTCTGTCCGTGGCGCCTGCTGGGCCGATCTCACATGCTGGATGTCTCGTGTAATGATTTGTAACTGGTCCCTGGGACTGTCCTTTCTCCCCGGTGAACCAGAAGCATTCACACATGTTTAAAATAGGGCAATTTCGCTCAGTGGCCCGGCCTCTGTGATATATGGGGCCCCTGGGGATTCGTTTTATGGCTCTCTGGACGCTTTGTGTGTTGACAGGGGTTCAACGGTTACAGTCGGAGAGGAAGAATAGATTTGTTTTGTAGGCTCTCAGCACAGTCCCCAGGTTCTCTTTATCCCCCTGAGGTAGGTCCAAAATGTCAGCGTCCATCATCAGGAATGAATAAATCGGAAAAATTACGCCGCATTATATAACTGTCGTCTGGGATGTTTTTAGATATATGTGCGGCGTGTTTTTATTTTGTCTGATCCGCAAAGCAGAAGTGATCACGAGCTGTATTTGTCCAAAAATATCTTCTCTCTTTGTTTTGATCAAATTTTGTTAAAGTAAAAATGATTTAACTTCAATGGCAGGAAGACCATATTGCACCACTTGACAACAGTTATGAAAACCATTTTTCTTTCTTCAAAGACGTTGACAAGTTGACTGCAGTGTTTTCGAAGAATTTGTGGATACAAGCTGTTGCACGTAGCAAATCTTCCTTTGAATACAGCTCCCCAGCTCCTTGCTATACACACACACACACACACACACACACACACACACACACACACACACACACAAAGAAAAGACTCGAGTGTTTTATGCTCCTGAACCAGTGATAACACCTGCTGCCTCTGGGTTTGTGCTGGCGGTTAGTACTTTTGACCTCAGTGGATGTTTACAGGGTGTTTTTGTAGGTGTATCTCTCACCTGGAGTGAAAAAAAAAAAACAAGATGTTGAAGCTCTAAACTACAAGCACACGGTTCACAGTGCACACCTGATTTTTTTTTTTTTTTCTGTGGAGCCTTTCATCATTCTCACAGGTATTTACGCCCTTGACATTTGCACAAAGTATTTCCCGTATGATTAAGTTTCAAAGATGTCAGTGGGGAGATAATGAGGAAATGAGCTGTGAGCAGCTCAACATTGAGAGCAGTTTTCTCTCTCTGAGCTGAGGCCGTTATCGACTCTGTTGCAGTGACAGGACTGAGCCCATCGCGGTGAACGACAGCTGTTTAGTTACTATATGCAGACTTTAGCCTCTGACAATGAATATCCAAATAAGCGGCCGGGCAGCAGAGAGATAAGAAGTCACTTGTTTTATTTGATAAAACAGGAAACTTTTGTTACTGGATAGTGCTATAAATAGCCTGTCATGTCTTGGCTCTGAAAGGATGAGAAAAGAAAAGCTGAACAAAGTGAACTCTGAGATGATGAGCGTAAAAAGTCCACCAGAGTCTATTTTTGGACTGTGGCCTTTAAGTAGTTTGTTGCTGTGAAACAATAACTCAGAAAGTGACGTAAACCGTAACACACTTTAACACAACTTCAGATGTATTTCAACAAACATTTACTCCATGTATCAAGTTGAGAGTTGAAATTGAGTTCAGTGTGTCGTATTTCCGTATTAAAGTGGATACTTGGTATTGTTCTGTCATTTTGAGAAGTTGAAACATAAGTG